CAAGCAGCAAATGACTCACGATGACTGTCACTATATTCATGTGCATTTAATTTTCAATTTTTTTTTTCACTTAGAGAATCCACCCTGTGTTTTGAAAGCAGACCGACTATCAGATGTCATACGTGTAGATGTAAAAAGAAGACAAAAAAAGCAGTATGCTGCTTTATGTAGAGGTGAATACACCAACAATGAACGATTGACCTCTTGTCCATTCAGAAGGCGTCGTTTGAACCAAAATGCAGTCATAGAACGCCAATCTTTGCCATCAAATGGACCTTCTTTATGTTGAAATTAATGTGCTCCAACTTTAAGAATCTCTGTGCGATGTGCATGTGTTATAACTGCTGAGCCTGCTGTATTAAACTTCATAAATCCAATATCCCTGTTTGTTAAAATACTTATTACGTCATCCTCTTTTAGCTTAGCAACACTATTCTGTGGATTTGTTTCTGACAAAGTGGAATCCTTTTGTTGTAGCTTTCAACAGGACAGAGAACAGTTTCTAATTGTTTTCTTTTTCAAATGAAATAGCATGTTCCCAATCTTGCACTTTGACCTCTTTGCTGCCATGAAAAGGAACAGATGCTGGCTTACTGGTGTCATCACTTCCAGCAAGGAAAGCTCTCATCAATTTGCTTGACTCCACCATCGAAGCTGCAAACTGTGCACGTCTTTTGCGTCCCTGTGCCCACGTTTACTCTAGGATCGTATTTGATCTACAGATGAATGGTGGAATAGTGTAATTTACTTCTGTACGTCAATTCGGTCTCACTGTATTTCAGTGGGCGGCTTTTAAAAGTTAAAACTGCAAGCATAATACATACAAATAACGTAACACTGTGTCGTATTTACTTAACGTAGGGTAGTTGCACTATATCCTAGGGGAGGGCATAATTATTAATTATCAGGCATTCTAGGCCAGAGGAAATTCTGCGCCCCTTTACACCTGCGCCCGGGGGTGACTGCCCCCTTGCTCCGCCACTGAATATGAGATGCTAAATTTCGTATTACAAGAGGGAGGATGTGTTACTATCTCAAGCGGCAGACTGACGGTAGTTTTCCTACAGGAATATATTATAGAGGTAAAAAAGATATGCATTGGAGGAAAGAACATACTATCTATGTTTCTTTGTTTCGAAAATTTACTGGAAACTACACAAGGGCTATGTATAATCGCTAGTTGTCACGAATTTTAAACTGATAGATTATATCATCCACCGACTATTCTTATTGTATAGTGGGATTTGGCTGTCACACTTACAACGCATCTAAAGCTCAATAGTTCGGAACACGATTTTGTGTTAATGAGACGCGAACCATGAGCCTTCAGATTCGCAATCTGGCACGCTACCTACTTGGCAACTCACTCTCGGCCCACATGCTCTGTATATTTTAAATATTTAATTAACAAAAAATAAGAATGAAATGTTATGTTGCTGAAATTTCAGTGTCTGTAAGTAACAATAACTTAATAAATTGGAAGGAAAATTTTTGTTGATAAAAGCAAAATCATTTGTTCTTTATTTTGCTAGTCAATCTTATCTGAGCAGTTGGCATGTTCAATGTTGTTTTATAAGGCCAAATTTTAACAGTGCAGTAGTTTATAAATCTAATCAAAAACACCTTAGGTGTGAAAAAAAGTGGGGGGATGGCACAATAATGGGTAAAACAAAATACGCGGCCTAGCAAACTAATGAATGCATATTTGCTGTAAAGTTATTATCAATGCTCTAAGTGTAGCTACCAGTTTGGCCGTCAGTTTTGATTCCAATTCTTTAAATCGCGCGCTCAATACTTTTTTTTTTTTTACACCCAAGGTATTTTTGATTAGATACAATTGACACACAAAAAAACAGCAAATAAGAAAGTAATACTCGATAGTGATCCACATTAGCTTTAGGATCGCAACCCTATTATTCGGAACAGACCTATACTTCACAGAACCAACCAGATATTTTAAAATATATGCAGGTACTTTTTCCTGTCTAAAAGTGTCAATAGCTTCCTTTATACTAACACCATATAAACTAGATTAACAGTTTCTTGTCATCACCCTGTACAGCCTTATCAAGCATTATTTCAGATAATATCACATGACGCTAAACGCTCTTAAATTAGGAAAATTTCATAAAATTGAGCAAATCTGTGCTTAAAAGTTGGCAAAGAAAAATGAATAATATCGTCCACCCATATGATTATTTTGAAAATTTAAGCCAGAAATTGTTAATCTAGCTTACTTGGTTTAACCTATACTTATGTATCTGCACGTGCCTTCACTCTATAGTTTTTCTGCTCTAAATCAACTGTTTTTAATCAGAAAGACAAAAAATTTAAAAAAGCCAATCTTTACTCTTAGGTCAAACTGTTATAAAAATTTTAGACCGATAGCTCACGTGACTTTTTCTATGTTGAGACTGTCGAACGTCGCGTGCAATACATTGACGTCGAGAATATAGAGATTTCTAGAAAGCGGTCAGAGGATTAAGTGATAAAGATATAAATAGTGCGAGACAAGCGAAAACAAAAGACAGGCAATAGCAGAAGATAGTAAAGTTACGGGCAAGGAAAAGTTCGGCGTTAAGTTAACTACCGTAGAAGTGATAGGCGTAACGTTTAATATATCAGAGTAAGACTAACAGTAGAAAAGGAGATAAGAAGAATTTATTCCGTCAAAGCGTGGTTCTAAAATAACTGAATTAGCCTGAGTGCATTTTGACAAAAGGTACAGAGAATATTGAGACGAAAGAACACCAAACGATTATCGATAACTCGCGCCACAATTGTAAGTGAATCACACACACAATACTAGTGCGATAGTAATATACAAGATAGTTCGGCTTGTCAACTGAAATTATAAAGCAGTTGAATAGACCTAAGTGGACTTTTGATAAAAAAGAGGAGAACTATATATTTAGTGTTAATGATATGCCTATAATCTCTATAGTGTGAAAAATTTGTTGTGCATACGTTTAACTTGTTCCCAATATATATATATATATATATTATTTTGAAAACAAGTGAATTGCGTGCTGTTCATTTATCGTCAACAAGTTATAGACACCTACTGTGGAAGAGCCCTAATAT